TAGCTACATAGTAAATGTTCCACTGACAATAATGGCATGTAGTGTGGACATGTTAAGATGGGTCTGAATCTTAACATGATCCGCTGACTCAAAGTAATGATATGATCCGCTGACTCAAAGTAATGACATGATCCGCTAACAAAGTAATGACATGATCCGCTAACAAAGTAATGACATGATCCGCTGACTCAAAGTAATGACATGATCCGCTAACAAAGTAATGACATGATCCACTAACAAAGTAATGACATGATCCGCTGACTAAGTAATGACATGATCCGCTAACAAAGTAATGACATGATCCGCTGACTCAAAGTAATGACATGATCCGCTGACAAAGTAATGACATGATCCGCTAACAAAGTAATGACATGATCCGCTGACTAAGTAATGACATGATCCGCTGACAAAGTAATGACATGATCCGCTAACAAAGTAATGACATGATCCGCTGACTCAAAGTAATGATATGATCCGCTGACTAAGTAATGACATGATCCGCTAACAAAGTAATGACATGATCCGCTAACAAAGTAATGACATGATCCGCTGACTAAGTAATGACATGATCCGCTAACAAAGTAATGACATGATCCGCTGACTCAAAGTAATGACATGATCCGCTAACAAAGTAATGACATGATCCGCTGACTCAAAGTAATGACATGATCCGCTAACAAAGTAATGACATGATCCGCTGACTAAGTAATGACATGATCCGCTAACAAAGTAATGACATGATCCGCTGACTCAAAGTAATGACATGATCCGCTAACAAAGTAATGACATGATCCGCTAACAAAGTAATGACATGATCCGCTGACTCAAAGTAATGACATGATCCGCTAACAAAGTAATGACATGATCCGCTAACAAAGTAATGACATGATCCGCTAACAAAGTAATGAGATGATCCGCTAACAAAGTAATGACATGATCCGCTGACTAAGTAATGACATGATCCGCTAACAAAGTAATGACATGATCCGCTGACTAAGTAATGACATGATCCGCTAACAAAGTAATGACATGATCCGCTGACTCAAAGTAATGACATGATCCGCTAACAAAGTAATGACATGATCCGCTGACTAAGTAATGACATGATCCGCTAACAAAGTAATGACATGATCCACTAACAAAGTAATGACATGATCCGCTAACAAAGTAATGACATGATCCGCTAACAAAGTAATGACATGATCCGCTAACAAAGTAATGACATGATCCGCTGACTAAAAGTAATGACATGATCCCCTGACTAAAAGTAATGACATGATCCGCTAACAAAGTAATGACATGATCCGCTGACTAAGTAATGACATGATCCGCTAACAAAGTAATGACATGATCCACTAACAAAGTAATGACATGATCCGCTAACAAAGTAATGACATGATCCGCTAACAAAGTAATGACATGATCCGCTAACAAAGTAATGACATGATCCGCTGACTAAAAGTAATGACATGATCCCCTGACTAAAAGTAATGACATGATCCGCTGACTAAGTAATGACATGATCCGCTAACAAAGTAATGACATGATCCCCTGACTAAAAGCAATGACATGATCCGCTGACTAAGTAATGACATGATCCGCTAACAAAGTAATGACATGATCCGCTGACTAAGTAATGACATGATCCGCTGACTAAGTAATGACATGATCCGCTAACAAAGTAATGACATGATCCGCTGACTAAGTAATGACATGATCCGCTAACAAAGTAATGACATGATCCGCTGACTAAGTAATGACATGATCCGCTAACAAAGTAATGACATGATCCGCTAACAAAGTAATGACATGATCCGCTAACAAAGTAATGACATGATCCGCTGACTCAAAGTAATGACATGATCCGCTAACAAAGTAATGACATGATCCGCTAACAAAGTAATGACATGATCCGCTAACAAAGTAATGACATGATCCGCTAACAAAGTAATGACATGATCCGCTAACAAAGTAATGACATGATCCGCTAACAAAGTAATGACATGATCCGCTAACAAAGTAATGACATGATCCGCTGACTAAAAGTAATGACATGATCCGCTGACTCAAAGTAATGACATGATCCGCTAACAAAGTAATGACATGATCCGCTGACTAAGTAATGACATGATCCGCTAACAAAGTAATGACATGATCCACTAACAAAGTAATGACATGATCCGCTAACAAAGTAATGACATGATCCGCTAACAAAGTAATGACATGATCCGCTAACAAAGTAATGACATGATCCGCTGACTAAAAGTAATGACATGATCCCCTGACTAAAAGTAATGACATGATCCGCTGACTAAGTAATGACATGATCCGCTAACAAAGTAATGACATGATCCCCTGACTAAAAGTAATGACATGATCCGCTGACTAAGTAATGACATGATCCGCTAACAAAGTAATGACATGATCCCCTGACTAAAAGTAATGACATGATCCGCTGACTAAGTAATGACATGATCCGCTAACAAAGTAATGACATGATCCGCTGACTAAGTAATGACATGATCCGCTGACTAAGTAATGACATGATCCGCTAACAAAATAATGACATGATCCGCTGACTAAGTAATGACATGATCCGCTAACAAAGTAATGACATGATCCGCTGACTAAGTAATGACATGATCCGCTAACAAAGTAATGACATGATCCGCTAACAAAGTAATGACATGATCCGCTAACAAAGTAATGACATGATCCGCTGACTCAAAGTAATGACATGATCCGCTAACAAAGTAATGACATGATCCGCTAACAAAGTAATGACATGATCCGCTAACAAAGTAATGACATGATCCGCTAACAAAGTAATGACATGATCCGCTGACTCAAAGTAATGACATGATCCGCTGACTAAGTAATGACATGATCCGCTAACAAAGTAATGACATGATCCGCTAACAAAGTAATGACATGATCGCTAACAAAGTAATGACATGATCCGCTAACAAAGTAATGACATGATCCGCTAACAAAGTAATGACATGATCCGCTGACTCAAAGTAATGACATGATCCCCTGACTAAAAGTAATGACATGATCCGCTAACAAAGTAATGACATGATCCGCTAACTAAGTAATGACATGATCCGCTAACAAAGTAATGACATGATCCGCTAACAAAGTAATGACATGATCCGCTGACTCAAAGTAATGACATGATCCACTGACTAAGTAATGACATGATCCGCTAACAAAGTAATGACATGATCCGCTGACTAAGTAATGACATGATCTGCTAACAAAGTAATGACATGATCCGCTGACTCAAAGTAATGACATGATCCGCTAACAAAGTAATGACATGATCCGCTAACAAAGTAATGACATGATCCGCTAACAAAGTAATGACATGATCCGCTAACAAAGTAATGACATGATCCGCTAACAAAGTAATGACATGATCCGCTAACAAAGTAATGACATGATCCGCTAACAAAGTAATGACATGATCCGCTAACAAAGTAATGACATGATCCGCTGACTCAAAGTAATGACATGATCCGCTAACAAAGTAATGACATGATCCGCTGACTAAGTAATGACATGATCCGCTAACAAAGTAATGACATGATCCGCTAACAAAGTAATGACATGATCCACTAACAAAGTAATGACATGATCCGCTAACAAAGTAATGACATGATCCGCTGACTCAAAGTAATGACATGATCCGCTGACTCAAAGTAATGACATGATCCGCTGACAAAGTAATGACATGATCCGCTAACAAAGTAATGACATGATCCGCTGACTAAGTAATGACACGATCCGCTGACTAAGTAATGACACGATCCGCTAACAAAGTAATGACATGATCCGCTAACAAAGTAATGACATGATCCGCTAACAAAGTAATGACATGATCCGCTGACTCAAACTTAACAAAAATCATGATCACCCTAAGTATATAAAACCATGCAAGACGTCGTAAATCACTCTAGCCGGGGGTCGAGAAATCTACTCATTAAAGATCCCCATCTGAACCCTCCCATGACCAGAAATCAAGCGTTTATCATAAGTTAAGGCTCCACTTTCTTTTGTCGGCAATACGGCACAGTACTGACTTAGTTATTCATATAAAAATAAAAAAATGTTTTATTTACACATTGACAGAGTCTGTAAAAGTTAAATAATCTATTCAGTACATCGGTAACAATATGAATATATACACAGTGTACAAAACATTAAGAAGACCTTCCTAATATTGAGCCACCCCCAGAACAGCCTCAATTCGTCGGGGCATGAACTCTACAAGGTGTTGAAAGCGTTCCACAGGGATGCTGGCCCATGTTGACTCCAATGCTTCCCACAGTTGTGTCAAGTTGGCTGGCTGGGTGTCCTTTGGGTGGTGGACCATTCTTGGTACACACGGGAAACTGTTGAGTGTGAAAAACCCAGCAGCGTTGCAGTTCTTGACACAATCAAACCAGTGCACCTGGCACCTACTACCATACCCCGTTCAAAGGCACTTAAATATTTTGTCTTGCCCATTCACCCTCTGAATGGCACACATACACAATCCATGTCTCAATTGTCTGAAGGCTTAAAAATCCTTCTTTAACATGTCTTCTCCCCTTCATCTACACTGACTGAAGTGGATTTAACAAGTGACACCAATAAGGGATCATAGCTTTCACCTGGATTCACCTGGTCAGTATGTTATGGAAACAGCAAGTGTTCCTAATGTTTTGTAAACTCAGTGTGTATACATATCAAATAGGTTGCATTGAAAACAATTCAGGCTTTTTCTGTCAAGTCTGGAAGAGAACGATAGCAGCATTTTGTATTTGCTCATCATAGAGCAGGGTTGGAGTGCATTTCAATTCAGTGAATTCTGGGAGTACTTCTGTAAGAACTTACTATAATTGATTGAAATGTGCTACGTCTGAATTGTCCCCTAATGACTTCATGGTGCACTACTTTTAACAGGGTGTCATTTCAGACGTACCCATGGACTCCCAACCCTTTTACGGCGTTACTCATAATACTGGCTTGAGGACTGAGCGCAGTGAGCGTCCCTCTTTGGTGAGCTCTCTGGATAAGCACATGCAAGGCAGAGGGATAGCCTCGTCCCGACAGGTGATGCTGTTAAACTTGCACTTCTTCAGATGGTCGGCCATATTGGCGATGTTGGCAAACTTCCACTCGTTTACCGTACCGAAGGCCGTGCTGAATCGCCACACCTGGTTGTCAAACAGAATAATATAAATTAATTAGTTATCATCCAATAATGATAAAGATGTTTATATACTGTATGTCATATTGTATTCCTGCTTGTGTTTGTCCTTTTGCAATGCCAAGCCTTTAATCTAGTTGACTAGTTTGTTGATACAGGACAGCATGCATTCAGTGGTCAGCAAATAGCTGTGAACTCTAACTCGAGATCCCCATGAGCATCTCAAACTATCGTACTGTTCCACTGATCATAGATTTATGGGAAAATGAGACTAACTACAATTAATTACAGATGTTAATAGACATGCACAGTGAGTGACTAACCTTGTTTCGGATCTGCCATGAGGACGACCCATCAGGCCTTCGTGTGTTCTCCCAGAGCAGCACCACCATGCCTCTGGACTGTAGTAAGCTGGCACACACATCCCTCATGGTCCGAGAGACCCTGGACAACTGGCACAGGCTGAAGCCATCCAGGAAACTGGCCACATACTGGAGCACCTCGAAGGGCAGGGAGCTCAGGTGGTCGCAGGTGGACCCGAACCGACAGGCATTCCTGGGGAGGGTTTTATCTCCGTACTGGGGAGGCATGTCGGGCTGCACCCCAAACGAACCCAGGTGTCTGTCATGGATGATCCTGGAGCCCTGCACAGAGGGACAGAGGCGTCTCTGGGAGTAGGTGCAGCCGTAGTAGGCCAGGGGACAGCGGTGCTCCAGCCAGCCGTTCAGCCCGGCGTGGATGTCCCCGTGAACGTTTTTGAAATGCGAGGAGAACTCGTCCCTGCGGAACAGCTGTCCACACACAAAGGTGAACATGGTGCGCCGCTTGGTTTGGTAACGGGCAACGCACTCCAGAACCAGGTCCAGTCTGAGGGAGTGGAAGGGGCTGGGGTTGGAGAGCTGAGGGCTAGCGTGATCACAGGCCGACGCTGAGGCGATGTCCCCCACCATGGTGTTAGTGGCCAGTATAGCCGAGGGGAAGGAGAAGGTCTGGGTACCAAAGTCGATGCGGTAACCGTCTACAAACCTGCTGTCTGAGATGCTGCGGCCCCCAGGGGAGTCCCCCAGACAGAAGAGCAGCGCTGCCGTGATCAGGTCGATTCCATGGAGCCCCAATGGATCGTCAGTTACCTCCAGGTCTGAGGTGTCCACTGACCTGTCCTCTGTTTTGGCTCTGAACAGACAGGGGTCAGACATCAGAGCCCTGCGCCCGTTAAACGTAAACACACTCATCCCTCTGAGCACCTGGAGGTTCTGAAGTTTCCTCTCCAGCCAGCTGTCTTCTATCTCCAATGGCAGATGCTGGAGCACGTTGTAGGGTTCCAGATTAGGGAGTGGCATGGGAAGAGGCAGGTGGATGGGTAGTGGGGGAGGGTGGGGCCCAGAGGGTTCCTGTGGGGGAGGGTGGGGCCCAGAGGGTTCCCGTGGGGGAGGGTGGGGCCCAGAGGGTTCCCGTGGGGGAGGGTGGGGCCCAGAGGGTTCCCGTGGGGGAGGGTGGGGCCCAGAGGGTTCCCGTGGGGGAGGGTGGGGCCCAGAGGGTTCCCGTGGGGGAGGGTGGGGCCCAGAGGGTTCCCGTGGGGGAGGGTGGGGCCCAGAGGGTTCCCGTGGGGGAGGGTGGGGCCCAGAGGGTTCCCGGGGTGTTACTATATTAGGCATGGAGAGATAAGGCATCACCGGCCTGAAGTCTGAAAACCTGTTGACTTCAGAGCGTCTGGGCGGAGATCTGCTTAGAACCATCCACTCACGCTGTCCCAAGTGATTTTGGTCGTCTCCTGTATGGTTGAAACCGTTACTGAGAGGAGGAGGACCACCCACCTCTGCAAGACCCATCACGTGGTCCTTCTCCACTTCCTCTGAAGACTCTATCCAGTAGCTCTCATCATCTCCCTGTCTGTCCACTGCGACTCCGCCCACTGCTCCGAGCTCACAGCCCGACTCTGTGTCACTTGTCTTCACCTCTACATTCTTCAAATCATCATCATCATCATCATCACCATCACTGTCCTCTCCCCTATGGAGAACCCCATTTCTCTCACCGCTCTTTTCCACATTTACATTGATCAAGTCAATGTCCTTTGCACTTCTGAGAACGGCCAAGGTAGCTGCTAAGTTTATTTTGTGCACCTCACTATAAGACGCATAATCATCATCCATTTCAACCACTCCATTAGTCAAAGCAGCAGCCTCATCCATTTCAACCGTTCCATTACTTCTGGCAGTCTCTGGAACACCTGACACTACATCAGCCATCTTGTCGCGCGTTTCCTCAGCTGGTTTATTATATTCCTTCTCTGACGTGTTGGTGGTGACTCGGAGGGACTCCAGTAGCATCCTCTGATCTTGCAGAGCCAGGGCCATGTCTAGCTGCTCCACCACTTCAACATCGCTCAGGTGCTCATAGGACTTCCTGTCTGAATAGCTCACAGGCCAACGGTTCCACTCCATGGTGCAACACACCACACTGGCCGGGCACGTCTCTAGGTGTTCAGCCATCTTAATCCGGGGGATAGTGAAAGGGCACCCGAATCCAGTGTTAAGGCAAGGCACTCTTTCAAACAGGCATAGTAAATGATGCTCCTCCACTTTACAGGAGTGAAAGACTGCTCCACAGACGAGAGGGCAGCGAATTAGATCACAGGACATACCGGTCTCTGGGCGGATCATACACCTCCTGTTCACACAGTTCAGGCAGTGGGCATGGAGCTCCTCCATCTTTGTTATGTTGATTTTATGGATTTAAAGGTGGATGGGGGGAGGGGGGAGGGCTGTATTGCAGGAAGGGGTGAAGTGACCTGCCCTGCAATAACGAGACAAAAAAAACATTATTAAAAACATGTATTAAATTGGACAAATTAGGTCTAATTAAAATGGACAAATTCAAGTTCAACCACAGTCAGTTTATGAATAGAAAAAGCAACCAGGCCATGTCCCAGTTGCTAGAAACATACTGTCCTGTTACATTATCCCACTGACCTGCTCTCTAGCCACGGAACATGTGGCAATGGAGTCTCGTGCCTTTAAAAGGCTGGCATAGCGCCTGCTCCCTGCTGCCGTCGCAGACTTTCTGTTTACTAAATCTCTTAAGCTGCTGCATGACATTTCACAACATTTGTCGTCTTGGGTTACACGGTCACGCCAGTTCTAGAATCGAACCTAAAGGACCACAGGGTTCATGACCTTTGACCCCAGGCTATACGAAGCAGAGGCCGGTTCAGTGGCCTCACCAGAGACAGAAGAGGAAGCGGGACATCTCACTCGCTCCCTTTTCTGGTTCATATACAGTCAATGAACTAAGCAGACCAGACCCAGCTGCTATTGCATTAGTGCATATGGGAGAGCCACTTAAGCAGACAGGAACTGTGACCATTTCTTTCACCGGTAAACAGTTCTGTGTGGGACATCTTAATTTATCCACCATCTTTGGCCTCACTGGCCTGCTCATAGCTTGATGACGACAGAACCTGAAGATGTTTATAAGCAACTGTCGGCCAACCATGACAGTCTGTAAGGAGAAACGTTGCACTGCCGGGCTTGGCTGGGTTGTCTGGCTTGACAGGCCTTTAATTACTATAAATACAACAGCAGGACAGGATTCCATTTTGGAATATCTGGTCATCCATGAAAGGGGGGTGTAGTTATAGTTGTAAAATACTAGACATGTGTTTGTAATTATTATCGGACATATACAGGTAACTGCCAAAATAAAATAAAAACCAACATAGTGTCTTAATAGGGTGTTGCCCCCAGAACAGCTTAAATGCGCCTTGGCATAGATTCTACAAGTGTCTGGAACTCTATTGGAGGGACGAGACATCATCTGGTGTTTTGTTGATGGAAAATGCTGTCTCAGGCACCACTTCAGAATCTCCCTTAAATGTTCAATTGGGTTGACTACTTTTCTCCTTCCCCCCTTTCTGACACCCAGGTGCAACACGCATCTCTGTGTGCCTGGCAGATATCTCAACTTGGATGTCGGCCCACCACCTCAAGCTCAACAAGACGTAGCTGCTCTTCCTCCCGGGGAAGGCCTACCCGCTCAAAGACCTCTCCATCATGGTTGACAACTCCACAGTGTCGCCCTCCCAGAGTGCAAAGAACCTTGGCGTGACCCTGGACAACACCCTGTTGTTCTCTGAAAACATCAAAGCAGTGACTCGCTCCTGCAGGTTCATGCTCTACAACATCTATAGAGTACGACCCTACCTCACACATGAAGTGGCGCAGGTCCTAATCCAAGCACTTGTCCTCTCCTGTCTGGACTACTGCAACTCACTGTTGGCTGGGCTCCCCGCTTGTGCCATCAAACCCCTGCAACTTATCCAGAATGCTGCAGCCCGTCTGGTTTTCAACCTTCCCAAGTTCTCTCATGTCATCCCGCTCCTCCACACACTCCACTGGCTTTCAGTCGAAGCTCGCATCCACTCCAAGACCATGGTGCTTACCTACGGAACAGCAAGAGGAACTGCCCCTCCCTACCTTCAGGCTATGCTCAAACCCTACACGCCAACCCGAGCACTCCGTTCTGCCACCTCTGGTCTCTTGACCCTCCCACCGGAGGGCAGCTCTTGCTCAGCCCAAGCTCTTCTCTGTCTTGGCACCCCAATGGTGGAACCAGGATCCCCCTGAAGCTAGGACAGCAGAGTCCCTGCCCATCTTCAAACAGTATCTTAAATAATCCCCCATCCTCACCTCGACCCCCCCCAAAAAATAAATAAAACCTGAACCTCTGACAACTACTTTGAGTTGTTTCTTCTTCTATGCCTGTGATGTGGTTGTCCCACCTTGCCATCTTAAGATGAATGCACTAACTGTAAGTCGCTCTGGATAAGAGTGTCTGCTAAATCAGGGTTTCCCCAAACTCTGTCCTGGGGTCCCCCCTGGGTGCACGTTTTGGTTTTTGCCCTAGCACTACACAGCTGATTCAAATAACCAACTCATCATCAAGCTTTGATTATTTGAATCAGCCGTGTAGTGCTAGGGCAAAAAACAAACCGTGTACCCAGAGGGGGCCCCAGGACCGAGTTTGGGAAACCCTGTGCTAAATGACTAAAATGTAAATGAGATCTGGTGACAGACGACCCCCTAAGCTCCTTTGAGACTCCTCTTTCAAAGTCAAAGAGACCTCTACTTCTAGCCATGGTGGCCAAATAACTGGCAATTGGACATTTCTATACATGACCCTAAGCATGATGGGGAAGTGAATTGCTTAATTAACTCAGGAACCACACCTGTGTGGAAGTACCTGCTTTCAATATAATTTGTATCCCTAATTTAGTTTTTCCTTTATTTTGGCAGTTACCTGTATAGCTATCATCCATAAACTTACATTTTAGTCATTTAGCAGACGCTCTTATCCAGAGCGACTTACAGTTAGTGAGTGCATACATTTTTATTTTTTATACTGGAATCGAACCCACAACCCTGGCGTTGCAAATGCCATGCTCTACCAACTGAGCTACATCCCTGCCGGCCATTCCCTCCCCTACCCTGGACCAATTGTGCGCCGCCCCATGGGTCTCCCGGTCGCGGCCGGCTACGACAGAGCCTGGATTCGAACCAGGATCTCTAGTGGCACAGCTAGCACTGCGATGCAGTGCCTTAGACCACTGCGCCACTCGGGAGGACCGAACTTGCATCTAAATATGCTTACTTCCTGCTGTAGTTGTAGCTAAGAATTCAACTTTTTAGTCAGATATGGCTAGCTACTGTTGTAAAGTTATTTGTGTAGCTAGCTACATTTTTTCTCCAGTAACTTTCATATATAGAAATTCATAAGATACGACTAGGAAAAACCTTTCAACGACAGAACTCAGTCACTGCAAGAAGTAGCTATGCACACACATAGCTAGCTAGATCCTTTTATTACTACCAGTGCCAGTTTGCGCAAGATAGATAAACAATAATCTAGCCACAAAGATGTTTATAACAAACCTGTTCTAACTTAGCCATTGATCATGACTCTCAGTTCCATTCCATTACACAAAAGAGCAGTGTTGTAAAGAACTTAAGTAAAAATACTTGAAAGTACTACTTAAGTAGTTTTGGGGGGTACTGTACTATTTCTGACTACTTTTCTCCCCCCCAAAAATTTTTCTAATTCACACACTTATCAAGAGAACATGGCCATCCCTAGTGCCTCTGATCTGGAAGACTCACTAAACACATGCTTCGTTTGTAAATTATGTCCGAGTGTTGGAGTGTGCCCCTGGCTATCCTTAAATTAAAAAAACAAGAATGGTGCGGTCTGGTTTGCTTAATATAATGCATTTTTAATGATTTATACTTTTACTTTTGATACTTAAGTACATTTTAGCAATTTCATTTATTTTTGTATATTTAAATCCCAAATACTTTTAACTCAAGTAGTATTTTACTGGGTCATTGGATGAAGACGTCTTATGTATAGGTGAGGTTTGTTAAGAGCCCCGACGCACAATCTGAACATTAACGTGCGTCGCTTGCGGTATGGTATTGGAAGTATAAGGCCCTTATCTTTCATATCAGCGAGAAATCATTTTCAAAAAAACAAAAGGTTAAATTGATACACACCTTAATATGGTTAGGGTTCCCACAAGGCCATATCTCCATGTTACAGCGCTTGTATACAGAAAACAGACAGAAGACGAGGCAACCACCTGTGCTAATTAGCATACTCTGAACACCTGTGTGTAAAAGCATAACTCGGGAAGTGTAGTTTCGTTGGATGGAGGCCCCCATAACTGTATGGATCTGTGCAAAACTGCTACAGTAAGTGTATCTTTTTTATTTGAAGGATTATTTAATCGGGGATAAAAGTTAAGGGCCATATGTTTCGAAAGGCACATCGCAAGCCATGATTATTGACGTTTATAAGTGTTAAAACACAGCATCAGGATTGTAGGGATGTAGCTCAGTTGGTAGAGCATGGCGTTTGCAACGCCAGGGTTGCGGGTTTGATTCCCACATGGGGCCAGTATGAAAAATACAAAAAATAATGTATGCACTCTAACTGTAAGTCGCTCTGGATAAGAGCGTCTGCTAAATGACAAAATGTAGTTCACATTATTAGCCTGTCGTGGGCGAAGCTAATCGCTGAAAACTGTAGCCTACAGTGTAGGAGAAGGAATGCTGCCTAGCGAGAACTACTGTAGTTCTATAGTTAACAAATATTTAATTAAACATGGTAGCAAGCTAACTGGCTAGATTATCACAATAATACAGTTAAAATACTGTTACTTGGCAAAGTTGGCTTACCCGTAAAAAACGATACAGCAAATGAGTCTTGTCTTTATATTCGGCAGCAACACTAGCCACACACAATTAACTACTGTAGTTCTATAGTTAACAAATATTTAATTAAACATGGTAGCAAGCTAACTGGCTAGATTATCACAATAATACAGTTAAAATACTGTTACTTGGCAAAGTTGGCTTACCCGTAAAAAACGATACAGCAAATGAGTCTTGTCTTTATATTCGGCAGCAACACTAGCCACACACAATTAACTAGAAGTTCGTCAATGTTGTAGCTGTTAGTCAGCTACAAATATTCACGTCGTGTCTTTCGCCTCTAGTCGCTGTGTTGTAAAAAGCAAGCTAGCTCATCTTTGGCTAGCTGCTGAAAGCTACAAGTGGCGCTAGTTGATTACGTCATCGTGCAGCGTACCAAAATTTGGCTAGATACGTGCGCCTGAAATAGATGGGGAATAACGTCACAATATTACATCTCACTGAAATATATTGTCTTAGACATGGAAAAGGTCCGAAATATTACAATTAAACACATAAACAGCTCTTTGAAATACCTTCATTTTTTCTCTATAAAAAACACAGAAAACTCTGTGCAGAGACAAGTTTTTATTTTCATATCACATCTTCAAAATTCCTCTTAATTTCTACAGTGAGATTTTATTTACACACAAAACTACAGTCAATTCATACTTTCCGCTTTCCTTATGCAGAAATGTAATGTGTGTTTATGTGTGCATGTGCGTGCATGCCTGTGCATGCATTAATTTGTGTGTCTGAGTGCACCGGTTCAGATCAGTTCTCATAGCTTGGACTGCTGGGTTAGTTCAGGAGGCCACTTCTGCATTGTGGTGTATGTTGGACAGGGTGAGCTGAGTCTCCTGTGCTGGGTAGGAGCGTCTGGTTCGCAGCCACAGCCTCCCAAACACTCCAGTGATCAGCAGCAGGACCGCTAACAGGCCTGCCAGGGCAAAGGTCTCCACCGAGGGCACACCAGAATCTGCAGGGCAAGAGATCGATCAGTCAGAGATGCAGGGACATATTCAGTAGGGCACAGCTTAGCAAAACATTTTAAAACAGAAAACATAAATGAGCTGGGGTGCGTTCAGCAGGACACAACATTTTGGAACGTTCAGATAGAAATATGTTATGAAGAACAAACATGCCTCTCTGGCATGTAGAATAAGGAATCATGTCGACTCTATCATGGCATTTATATCTGCAACGTACCTCCCTGTTTCACTCTAACACAAAATGTTTTATCTCTACTGAACACGACCCAGTACAGTATGTTGGTCATGGTAAATAAAGAGCCTTTATTGGGAGACTTACTCAGGCTGGGTTGGTCACTCTCAAGCAGACGTCGCCTGATTGGTCCATAAGATACTGTATGGGCCGTAGTGACATCCCTTCTCATCCGCCCATTGTTATCCTCACCAGAACAGTTCTGTTAAATGGATGGTAGTAATCAATGATAGAAATTAGGGAGAAATATTAAGGTACAGCAAGCAAATATATAGTTTAATTACAGGATTATTACCCAGTCTCATTACCATATTTACTTGTTGTTTTACATTTTCCAAAATGATAATTAATTGTAATATTAGGAATGCAAAAAAAGAAGTGTTTTTCGTTCTCTCTTTTATGACAGCAGTTAGGACCTTACTATAAACTAGGGTTTGAAGGAGCCAGTGAGCATCATCATTATGAAGAAAGGAGGAGGGATCACTCACAGGCTGACAGACCCCAGGTGTGTTGTGACAGATCTGAACATTGCAGTGGAGAAACACATTCTTGTAAGAGCTGCCCACGAACTTGAACATTTGTATCCTGAACATAGCCTCTGGCCCCTGTCCATTCTTCAGCACTGTCAACGGTTCGTTTGACAAAACGGGGCAGCTGAGACAGGCCGAGAGAGAGAGCCAGAGAAAGAGAGAGAGAAGGAGAGAAAGAGAGAGAGAGCAGGCAGACAAAGCAGGCAATGGATCGTATCAGTATCAGAGGCAGCATGTGCTACCATTGAATAAGATATCATACATTTTAGAATGTGTTGGTTAATAAAACTCAGGGAAATCCATTAAAATCCTATAATTCCTGGTAAACTATTCCAACAGCTGATACAAAAACCAGACGAGGAATCTATAGTCGCTTGTTTTCATTGAACACATGCCAATGTAAGAGCAGAGCACTTTGCTATTGTGACATATCCATCTTTCATAATGGCAATGCAAACACATTAACATTTAGTATTCTTGGAATGACAAGACAGATCCTCCTAAGTGTTTTCTCCTCAGACGTAGTAAACAAAAGTCCTTGTGCAAATCATTGCTGTGCTGTTGCTAACAGTACAACATACCTCCTGGTTGTCAAGGACATGCACAGTTGTTGAGCTGAAATGCATATGGCTGATGCCGTGTTCATATCATGTCGAACACTCGGGACCTCAGATTTAAAATAAACGTAAGTTAGTTGCGTAGAGCTTCCTATTGGTTGATTCTGATACTTATATATATATATACATATATGACAATTGGGAAACTCGGACATCATCTTTCTACCACGAGTAAGCAAGTTGGAAATGTCTGAGTTTCCGACATGACATGAATGCGGCATCAGACAGGGCCCGAGTCATGTGACAGGGGTCTGAAATCTATATGGCCTCAGACAGTGTCATGAGACAGGGGTCTGAAGTTGTTGTGTCACCCCTGGTCTCTTGTCTAAGCAATTCAGCAGCTCTTATTTCATAATTCAACAACGCCATTCCCAGAGGACTGTGTGCTGGTGTCAAATGTGGTTGAAAGTGTGACACTGCAAAAATATACATTTAGATAGGCCTCCATAACACATTTATGAATAACAATAAACTGAATGAAACTTAAAGCAAGATGTGCTGAGAGGGGCTTATAATGCACAGTGATATAATGTTGAACTTCTCTTTGAACAGACCTGTCCTTGATGAAGGTGTATTGGATGTTACTGTATGGGTCGTTGGTTGGGGTAGCCCAGCACCTCTCCACACGCAGCAAAAGATGAGCCGGTATCTAAGTGAGAGCGAGACAAACCGAGACTGCAATCAGTGACACACACACACACACAAAGAGGTGCCTCAGGCCTGCAGTCATTAAATATTTTGACCAGGTCAACAGAGAGAGAGTAAAACACCAAATACTGCATGCAGAGCAGAATTAGGACGATACCCGCTAATTATCAAAATCCAGAAAAGAGCTGTTCAATTCTACAACCACCTAAAAGGAAGCGATTCCCAAACCTTCCATAACAAAGCCATCACCTACAGAGAGATGATCCTGGAGAAGAGTCCCCTAAGCAAGCTGGTCCTGGGGCTCTGTTCACAAACACAACAGACCCCACAGAGCCCCACTTCAATCAGTGTAGATGGGAGGATACCGGTTAACCAGTTAAATGTAACCAAATGTAAACTAAAATGTAATCTACGTAATCCCCAAAAGTAATTATTTATCATGAGGGCCATAAACAATAACTAGTAATGCGGCATACTCCAAGAAAGGTTCAAATATCACCTTTCTGGTAAAAATAGTTATCAATTACTGAAGTGTAGTCACTTTTGAGGACACAAGCTTAATTACATAGTACAAATATGATGAAAATATGAAAGATGTTATATGATATATTTCCCATTCAACAAAAAGGCTTGAAATCACTTATGTGCTTTCTAAATACAGCATAATCAAATTATAAAATGACTAACTATAAGATTTCACCTTCCTTATAATTGTAAAATACATATTTGTGTGTTTAGTGTTAGAGAACATTTGCATATTTTCTAAAGGTCTCTCTTGATCAAAACGTCTGCCCCCTTTCGTACTTCAACTATTTGCACATTGTTAAAACACTGTACATGGCCATAGCATTTGAAATGTCTCTATTATTTTGAAACTTTTGTGAATGTAATGTTTACTGTTAATTTCTGAGAATTGTGTTTTTGTTTATTAACTATTTCACTTGCTTTGGCAATGTAAACATGTTTCCCATGCCAATAAAGCACATTGAATTGAATTGAGATAGGATAGAGGTACTGTGGGGAGAAATAGAGAGGGAGAGCGAGAGAACTAGAGTCCAAGTTGTAGTTAGTATGCAGAGCAGCCTGTGATAGAGGCAGGGGGTCAGAGCAGTGATAGTAGCAGAGAGGCAGGGGGTCAGAGCAGTGATAGCAGCCTGTGATAGAGGCAGGGGGTCAGCGCAGTGATAGCAGCCTGTGATAGAGGCAGGGGGTCAGAGCAGTGATAACAGTCTGTGATAGAGGCAGGGGGTCAGAGCAGTGATAACAGCCTGTGATAGAGGCAGGGGGTCAGAGCAGTGATAGCAGCCTGTGATAGAGGCAGGGGGTCAGAGCAGTGATAGCAGCAGAGAGGCAGGGGGTCAGAGCAGTGATAGCAGCAGAGAGGCAGGGGGTCAGAGCAGTGATAGCAGCAGAGAGGCAGGGGGTCAGAGCAGTGATAACAGCAGAGAGGCAGGGGGTCAGAGCAGTGATAGCAGCAGAGAGGCAGGGGGTCAGAGCAGTGATAACAGCCTGTGATAGAGGCAGGGGGTCAGAGCAGTGATAGCAGCCTGTGATAGAGGCATGGGGTCAGAGCAGTGATAGCAGCCTGTGATAGAGGCAGGGGGTCAGAGCAGTGATAGCAGTCTGTGATAGAGGCAGGGGGTCAGAGCAGTGATAACAGTCTGTGATAGAGGCAGGGGGTCAGAGCAGTGATAACAGTCTGTGATAGAGGCAGGGGGTCAGAGCAGTGATAGCAGTCTGTGATAGTGGCAGGGGGTCAGAGCAGTGATAGCAGCCTGTGATAGAGGCAGGGGGTCAGAGCAGTGATAACAGCCTGTGATAGAGGCAGGGGGTCAGAGCAGTGATAACAGCCTGTGATAGAGGCAGGGGGTCAGAGCAGTGATAGCAGCCTGTGATAGAGGCAGGGGGTCAGAGCAGTGATAACAGCCTGTGATAGAGGCAGGGGGTCAGAGCAGTGATAGCAGCCTGTGATAGAGGCAGGGGGTCAGAGCAGTGATAACAGCCTGTGATAGAGGCAGGGGGTCAGAGCAGTGATAGCAGCAGAGAGGCAGGGGGTCAGAGCAGTGATAGCAGCAGAGAGGCAGGGGGTCAGAGCAGTGATAACAGCAGAGCAGAGCAGTGATAGCAGCCTGTGATAACAGCAGAGATGAGAGAGAATCAAGAGCAGCGGCACTCACATTACTGTCCAGTCTGTCACAGACTGAGTAGTTGATTAGCTGCCCACAAGGTCTAGTGTCAGGGCCAATATACTTTACATTTTGGTCATTTAGCAGATACTCTTATCCAGAGTGACTTACAGGAGCAATTAGGGTTAAGTGCCTTGCTCAAGGGCACAATGGCAGATTTTCACCTAGCCGGCTCGGGGATTCAAACCAGCGACCTTTCGGATACTGGCCCAACGCTCTTAATCACTAGGCTACCTTCCCGGCAACGCCCTATCTGACAAGTACTGTATGTGTATGGTCATGTCAAAAGACTGGGGTTATGTCCCAAATGGCACCCTATTCCCTATATAGTGCCCTATGTGCCCTGGTAAAAAAAAAGTAGTGCACTATGTAGGGAATATGGTGCCATTTGGGATGCAGCCTATGTCTATGGTCAGGGCCAAAGACTGGTCATTCAGCTCAACACACACTAAAGGTGCTTATCTTTATCCAGCAAGAAGCAGAAACAGCTCAGACACAGTAAGCTTCCACAGATTATAGGGTCTGTTTTTGATCATTCAAAAGCTGTACAGTAAGTCACACCACATTTGTTGGTATTTCAGTTAACTAGCCTAACTAAATATCTGCTGGTTATCTTTACATGATCAGTTCTGATTTCATATTTCAACAACACCATTCCTAAGAAGACTGTGTGATGGTGCCAAGTGTGGTTGCAATGGCACTAAGAAAAGATAGAACAGAAAACAGGTACATGCCACTGAATCAAACAGAATGAAATCACATTGTGACCTTTACCATCAACACTTTAACGTAGATGTTGTCGTCCAGGGTCAGGGAGGGCACAGTGGTCCACTTGTCCTCAAAGTCCTCGTCTTTATAAAGCAACATGGACACAGAGAAGTTCCCATCTTCTGTGTTCAGAGTGATGGTCCTGGAGAGAATTGTATAGATTGTATAGATGCAGTGCTCGAGTTACAGATACAAGAATCCTAACTTCCACTAAAGTCACATTTTTTACATGAACGACTAAAGTGAAAATTCGACTTAAGTGGAAGTTAGGATCGTCCAACAGAGATCTTAGAGGTGATTGGATTGATGTTTTCTACAAACTGTAAGCACCACATAGAACATAAAACATTCCTCTTTTAGATCAGATGTTTTGGCCAATTAAGACTGTGTGAACAATTGTAAAATACCGTTTGAACCATGCGTTAATGAACTCGTAATGAAAATCTATTACCAAATGTGATTTTTTTTTTAAAACCTTAGCTAGATATCTTACTTGACATCCACTCTGATCATGTTTTCCCCATTGGGCTGCTGGACCATGTAGTTTATTGGGTAGCGGCAGACAAACGTGATGTTTATGTAGTTCCTCGTGACGACATCCAAGTCGTTGTTGCGTATGGTGTTTATGAACATAATATGTGTTTCATCCGATGCCTAGAATGAGTAGGATGTCAGAAAAACAACAGTGTCAAGGAAATATGAAGGTTATGAGGGCTGACCTATAAGTCTATGAGGCAGGTGGTCAGTCAGACAAAACGTGATGTATTGGCTGGCTTGGTACATTATTCCACAGCTAAATGAGTCACTTAGAAAGTAACTGGAGATTGATAACCATGATGCACGCAACACAAATAAAATAGAATTTGGTGTACTTGTGTAGACTTTACCATTAAATGCTTGCTTACAAGACCTTCCCAACGATGCACAGTTTAACCTTTTACTGTATTGGGCTAAATCAGGGTCACACAGAGTGTTTCTTGGTAGTTTTAAACAAATCTACTTTGAAACGAGTATACACCTCAAACACATGGTTATGGGCTTTAAAAAAGAAGGCACCTGTACCTTGTCAGATATAGAGTTTAAATGTATTCAATTTTGAGTTTGCATCCCAATATTACACTTTATATACATCACAGAAGACTGAAATATAACAAAACCGTTTGACATGGAGTTTAAAAAAAACAACATGTTTTTACTGATTATAAAATTATGAAAAATATACATTCCACCCATGAGTCCACTATGTCATTTGACTACAGGAAAGGGCTACAAATAATAGTAAAAATAGTAACACGAGAAATAAAATAAAATACACAAGAATGGAGCTATATACAGGGAGTACCAGTACTAGATCAATGTGGAGCTATATACAGGAAGCACCAGTACTAGATCAATGTGGAGCTATATACATGAAGCACCAGTACTAGATCAATGTGGAGCTATATACAGGAAGCACCAGTACTAGATCAATGTGGAGCTATATACAGGAAGCACCAGTACTAGATCAATGTGGAGCTATATACAGGAAGCACCAGTACTAGATCAATGTGGAGCTATATACAGGAAGCACCAGTACTAGATCAATGTGGAGCTATATACAGGAAGCACCAGTACTAGATCAATGTGGAGCTATATACAGGAAGCACCAGTACTAGATCAATGTGGAGCTATATACAGGAAGCACCAGTACTAGATCAATGTGGAGCTATATACAGGAAGCACCAGTACTAGATCAATGTGGAGCTATATACAGGAAGCACCAGTACTAGATCAATGTGGAGCTATATACATGAAGCACCAGTACTAGATCAATGTGGAGCTATATACAGGAAGCACCAGTACTAGATCAATGTGGAGCTATATACAGGAAGCACCAGTACTAGATCAATGTGGAGCTATATACATGAAGTACCAGTACCAGATCAATGTGGAGCTACAGTTGAAGTCGGAAGTTTACATATACTTAGGTTGGAGTCATTAAAAGTTGTTTTTCTTTTTTTTTTTTATAATATGTTTATTATTTTCCAATAAAAATAAAGTAAAAGAGACAGCAATACAAACAATGACATTCATTGTACTGTTGGATGGGATGGCCAGTTTAGAGGACAAAACAAAAGTTAACTCACACATACACAAAATAAAACAAAATCCTATTAGGTGGTACGTGTATAAGAAGACAGCATATAGTCATTACAAGCAGTGTAGTTCAGCCAAAAATAAATATTGAGTGGAGTACAGCACAGAGTAGCAGCAGATCGTCAGCCCAGTTATGAAGCGGGACTAGACCATTTATCCAGTATCGGCTGCCATATTTTGTAAAACAATGGACTTCTATTGGAGGTGTTGTATCGAATCTTTTCCATATGGATTACATTCCCTAAATCCCGTAACCACATTTCAAAGGTAGGTACAGTCTCCAATTTCCAAAATTGCAATATGAGCCTTTTGGCTAATAGAGTACAAAGAGAGACAGCTTTCCCCTCCTGGTTATTCCCATCAACTGTACCAAACAGAGCGATCAATGGGTCTGGGGCTAGAACTCTATCAAAGGCCTTAGATAAGTAATCAAAAATGAGAGCCCAGTAAGCCTGTAATTTAGGGCATGTCCAGAATAAGTGGGACAACGTCCCCTCCTCCTGCTTGCACCTCTCACACAGTGGTGAGGTGTCCGGGAATATTTTATGCAGTTTTACTTTTGAGTAGTGTAACCTGTGTATCACCTTAAACTGTACAAGGTTGTGTCTGGCATTCACTGAACTGTGGTTTATATTCCTGAGAGCTTCTATCCAGTCCTCATTTGAGATTTCTGAACCAAGTTCTTGTTCCCAAGCCCTTTTAATGGTGTCTGTGGATACCTCTATGTGGGCCTGTAGCACATCATACAGTCTGGAGACCGACCCTTTTGAATGGGGTTTGACAAGGATCAAGCTATCTAATGTAGGACTATTTGGCTTCATGCCATACTGTGGGATGTGTGTCCTTAAGAAATTCCTGATTTGGAGGTATCTGAAAAAATGTGTTGTTGGCATGTTGAACTTTGCCTGTAGTTGTTGAAATGAAGCTAACTGACCATCTATGTATAGATTACCAATTGTTGTGAGCCCCTTCTCCCTCCACTGTGAAAACACCACATCATCCATTGCAGGGTGGAAAGCATGATTCCGGCTAATCGGGCTGTCTATGTACACAGTGGGTATGTTAAGAAAATCCCTAATCTGTTTCCAGATCCTAAGAGTATGACAAATGACTGGATTGGAGTCATAAGTGGCTTTTTTCACATATGATGGGCTATTAACAAGTGCAGGGAGTGAGGAACGTTGACAGGAGGCCTGCTCAATCAAAAGCCATGAAGGCATATCCTTCCATCTCATCTCAGGTAAACTTTCCCTCCAGAAAGACACAATGTTCAGATTAGCAGCCCAATAATACAGTTTGAAGTGAGGAAGGCCAAAGCCCCCCTCTATCTTGTACTTGCATAAATGCTTCTTTGCAATTCTGGCTGCCTTGTTATCCCATAAAAATGGAGTTACTATTGAATCCAGTTTCTTAAAATAGCTTTGTGGTATGAAATTGGGTAGACATTGGAAGAGGTAAAGAAACCTGGGTAGGACAACCATTTTAATAGCGTTTATACGACCAACCAAGGAAATAGGCAGAGTTTTCCAGAAATCTATATTTTGTTTAAGCTGATATATTTTCATGTCCCAATTCACTTTCAATAGCTGGTCAAGGTCTCTTGTCACTACAATGCCAAGGCTTGTGAACTTGTCCCTCACTGTTCTAAGCGGGGTAGATTGCAGAAATTGCATATCCACAGGCCGTGATATTGGCATCATCTCACTTTTTTGCCAGTTTATCTTGTAGCCAGAGAAGGAGCCGAATGTGTTTATCAAGTTAAGTAATGGTGGAATAGACGTTTTAGGCTTGGACAAAAACAACAGAACATCGTCTGCATATAGGGAAATTTTGTGCTGTGTGTCTTTTATTTTAACAGAAGCTATATCGGCACATGCCCGAATGCGCGTAGCAAGGGGTTCCATGGCTATAGCGAAGAGAGCAGGCGAAATAGGGCACCCCTGTCGGCACCCCTTGAACAGGCGGAATGACTGCGACATTTCCTGATTGGTCACCACGGACGCCATTGGGTGTGCATAAATAATTCTTATCCAATTAATAAATTCCTTTCCAAATCCGAAATGCTCCAGAACCGACATCATATACTTCCACTCAATCTGATCAAACGCCTTCTCTGCATCAAGAGCTATTACCACTGCCTCAACTTTATGATCATGATACATTACGTTGAAAAGGCGTCTCAAATTGTAGTATATATGTCGGCCTGGGATAAAACCTGTCTGGTCAGGGTGTATGATGTCGGAAATATATTTTTTCAATCGGTTTGCCAATATCTTTGTCAACACCTTGTTTTCTATGGGGAGTAACGACACGGGGCGATACGACGACATCTCCATGGAATCTCTATCTTTTTTCAAGATCAGGGCTATTGTAGCCTCATACAGTGTTTGCGGGAGTTTGGTATTTTCTTTGGATTGTTGAAACATTCGCAGCATAAGTGGAGATAGACTAGCGCAGTACTTCTTATAGAATTCTATTACATATCCATCGGGCCCAGGGGCCTTGCTGTTTGGAAATTGTGCTATCGCTGTGTTAATTTCATCTAAGGTTATCCCTGCATCGAGTGCGGCAGCTGCCCCCCTGTCTAGTTTAGGAAGTTCACAATCAGCGAGAAAGCGTTCCATAGTTTGTGGATCAGTAGCATCGCATTTTGATTGGTATAGCTCTGAGTAAAACTGTGCAAAGCATTTATTAATGTCCTGCGGATCTGTTACTATTTTACCCTTCTTGTCTTTTATTTTGTGAATAGCTCTAGATGCTTGTACATGCCTTAGCTGTCTTGCTAATAATTTATGTGGTTTGTCCCCCAGTTCAAAATAACTTTGTTGCGTTCTAGCAAGTAAAGAGCCCACCCGTTTCGAAAGGATGGTATTGTATTCATACTTTAACTTTGTGATCTTCTCAAGGACTGTATACGAGGAATTTGTCCTAAAAACGTTCTCCTGTTCCCCTAACTCTCTTTCAATTTCTCTCAGCCTGGTATTGGCATGTTTCTTCCTCTCTGATGTATAAGAAATAATGTAACCTCTAATCACAGCCTTTAGAGCTTCCCAAAGGGTGGAGTCGTCAACATCCCCCGTGTCGTTAGTACTGAGGAAAAAGGCAATCTGCTCCTCCAAATACTGACAAAAAGCCTCATCTTTCAACAGGTATGCGTCTAAGCGCCACGGTCGCCGACCTGTCGACATATTGTCGAGTTTCAGCACCATGGACAGAGGAGAGTGGTCCGTAATTAGAATGGGGTGATAGGTAACCGACTCAGCTGCTGAGATTAGTTTGGAGTCCAACAAAAAATAGTCAATTCTGGAATATGATTTATGAACTGATGAGAAGAAAGAATAATCCCTGTCTGTTGGGTGCGTCAGTCTCCAAATATCGACAATGTTAAGGTTTGTCATCAATGTATTTAGACAGACACTGGCATTTGATTGTTGAAGTGACCTTGATAGCTGTTTATCTAAAAGAGGGTCTAACGTACAGTTAAAGTCACCTCCAACAATAACACTTGTATCCGAGAT